CTTCTGGTACGATGTTGTGCAGGAAGTTTCGAAGGCTGGACTGTTTTGTGATCGTTCTTTGGCGACGTCTGATTGTCTGATTGTCTGCCTGCCACCACCACTACCACTGCGCTTGATTAGAGTTGCTCATCAGATTGTTGCACCGAATTTCTATTCTTTACTGCAGCTTGAGCCTTACGATTTAGAATGTTACTTTAGAGATATTATTAATCTTCGTTCTAGTGCTCTAGGCACTAACCAGGGGATTCTCTCCTTGGCGGACAGTGGTTGATTTGGATTGTGTTTTTTAGCCTTTGACCCTTCGGGTACCACGGGCTAGATCTATTACCATTACCACTACCATTGGTGCCACACAGCCTTTCCTTTCCTCCCTCGCGTCCTGTCACTCCTCTCGTACCGAACGCAGGCACGCAGTCACCTTGGACCTCGAAAATTCGCCACAATGGGGCGAATGCACAGTCGAGGAAAGGGAATGTCCTCTTCGGCTCTGCCGTACAAGAGGAACCCACCGAGCTGGTTGAAGATCACCAGCCAGAAGGTCGACGACCATATTTGCAAGTTTGCAAAGAAGGGTCTGACCCCATCCCAGATTGGTGTCATTCTGAGAGATTCCCACGGAATCTCGCAAGTGAAGAGCGTTTCTGGAAGCAAGATTCTGAGGATTCTCAAGGGTCACGGGCTCGGTCCTGAGATCCCCGAGGATTTGTATCACTTGATCAAGAAGGCTGTTGCCGTGAGGAAGCACCTTGAGAGAAACCGCAAGGACAAGGACTCTAAGTTTCGTCTGATTTTGATCGAGAGCCGTGTTCATCGCTAGGCCAGATACTACAAGCGCACCAAGAAGCTCGCTCCCAACTGGAAATACGAGTCCCCCACTGCCAGCACTTTGGTTGCCTAAGTCTAGAGACGATACCACATCCCAGCATGCGATGGGATAACGCACGGGATTCGTAATTGAGACCCAAATTTGGGTGCCCCTGAGCTCACTCTGATCAGTAAGATTTGTCCTGAGTATGGGCCATGTATCTGAACTCACTGTGTGATTGTGGGCATAGTCCGTCCGGTTGCATTATGCGTTCCACCATTGGCACTGGGATTCAATAGAGTAAAGGATTGGTGCCACTGAGGGTAGAATGTGTGCATGTCGATGTGTAGGCGATGTCCACGGATCGCAGATCTTTCTCGTGTCGTTCGAGATCTGCGTGATGATCGTCAGGTTAGAGTCATGATACTCGTGTTAGTCTGGATGAACGATTCGATCGTTGTTGTTGTTGTTGTTCCTGCTCTGCTAAATTATAAGTCCAGCTGAACAGTGGAACCACCCTCGAGAATCAATGATATTATAAAAAAAATTGCTCTGCTTTATGCTACTACAACTTCCTCAAGTGGAAGTACATTTGTCCTGTAACAAAACAACTTACGATGAGAAGGGTGCAACAGGTGAATATGAACTGTCGTCTTCTGGTTAAAGTCACGATGTACATCCTTGGGGTGAAAGAATCCTGCAGGTAGTTGAATTTGTTGATCTCCATCTAGTCCGAAGACCGACTGGCATATCTTTCGGATCTTGACTTTGGTCACTAGAGAATCTAAAATATAGAGGAAGATATTGAGCAGAAGGATTCTCAATGCCTACGAGAGGAGAACTAGATACTTATGATACACTTCTTGTGTCCATTAGCAGAGGTGCTCGACAACACGAGCGAGAAGACCATACAGCCGCGATCCTCACCGACCAATAATTGCTCCTACTAATAAGTCAATAAAAGAGAAGAAGTATTCATCGTCAAATATTGATAATCTCTACAACTCATTTCTCTTTAAAACTCAACAAATATTTCTGTGAAGTTGCTCATCGACTTTAGTATGGGCCTATGAAGCTCATTCTAACAATTTCTCGTCAAGATATGCATTCTACAGCTTGTTCGTCCATCCGCAGAATCATGGCACATGGCCATTCACGAGCCTGATTTACGTCTAATGCTATTGCAGTAGATCCTTTGGATTGTTAAAGAGTTGGTAATCTGAAACACGGTTCTTCGTCATTTTCCGACGGGCAAAACACAACTTTGGTGCATGCTGCATTTGGGAATACTTCCGTGCACGGTGATCGATTGATGACGAGCCGGCTCACCAGATTCCATATTCTCTCAGAGCAGCGAGTTGTGCTCAAATGCGGCACATCATATAGAACTCGCGTCCGAGTCAACCCATGACTGACGTTCGATCTCCTGGAGCTCGTGTAAGTCCAAGAGCAGATTTTCCACAATCATATTCTATTATTGTCAGGTTGAGTTCAGGAATTTAAGTCGGATTCTGCAGATCTTCAGTTGAGTGGAATTGCCACTCTCTAATAAGTCTTTAAGACTGAGAACCAGCAAATTCAATCATCGATCAGCAGGTGTGCTGGGCAAAGCAGACTAGAAAGCAGACGTTCGGGCATTCATGAGCATGCGAGCATGGAGTCTCCCGCACTCTCGCTCGGTGCATTTAGAGCTGTGAGCACAGAGTCAGACAATCATGAACGAGTCCTGTTTCAGCAGCCCCGTGAGACGACATTATTGAGTTGACGAGGTTGAAAGGATTCCTTCATTCCGGATCGACTATTAAAGCAGTGATAAAATAATGAGAAGAAGAAAGGTCAAGAAAGGTCGCTCCATAAATAAGCTATTACCAAGGCTGAAAGTCTCCCTACTTCTCGCCAGGCATACCTTCTTGAATATATATAAGGATTTTACACATCGCGACAGTACCCTTCACGAAAAGGTGAACCTTGTGCTAAGTTGACGATGATCTGGGAGACCTGTTCGAACAAATGTTGAACATAATACAACATCAAGTCCTTGTGATTCTTTGACTGTTTACCAATGAGTTTTATTTCGTGTCGAGGAGCAGCATAATCACTGAAACTGTATGACAGTAATACTTGGCGTCAAAGAACAAATACTCAGTGACCCTTTGGTAAGAAAAGTCAAAGAATCTTTGCACAACATTTGAACCACCTGGAGTGGTTCAAAGTTTGTGCAGAAGGTACCTGAATCAGCCCTCTAAAGGTTGGATATCCATCGTCTGTGTGCGTGCTAGCTGCCTTCACCACAAGGATAACAATGGAACGATCTTAGCTAGCACACTAAAGGACAGAAGCATTTTGAGTCATGAAGCTTACGCCCTCATGTTGTACGATATGAGGTCCTACCAACTCACGACTGAACAAGCTCTCACTCTAGATACACGCAAGCCAGTACAATTTTCAATTTATCCCTTCCACCTGAAGCTTTGTGACCCGAAATACTTCGAGGAATGTTTCAAAAGAGCACGATCATCAAGAAAGCCCTTTTGAAGCACCGAAGTACACGTTAGTTCGTTCCACCATGAAAGTCAGATAGTCGTTCTTGAAGCCAAGTGAGAAGGCCAACAGAGCAGGAGAAGTGGTACAATTTGTCGTCGGTAACATTTGTAACTTGGGACGTACAGAAGTTAAGTCTCGTCCTTGTTGCCCGCAAAATACGAATAGAAAAGGTTGAAAGTGGAAACATTAAAGAGATGGTGGCAGTTGCCACCTCAAGATGTTATTCATTTTCCAGTCATTTTACTCAACAACCACATCACTATACTGTAAGAAGGAAGGTGCCTTGCAGAGGCCAACATTTTACTTCAAATCTGCACCCAGACCAGACCATATCCATCAGCAGCGACCTAATCCCACCCATGCCCACCCATAGCATTACCTGTGTCCACTCATGCTATTCAAATTACACCAATTCTTGGTTGGATCTTGACAAACACTGCCCTTAGCAATACTTGTGCCCACCCATGGAAATATAATGTCATCCAAAGGTTTTGAGTGACATTTTTTTGGGTTCGGGTTTTGGGCCCAAAACCCATGGGCATGGGCACCCAATGTTGGGCTCTGCTGCCTTAGTAGAGATCGTGACATCTACGAAGAGTCTACGTATAAGGGGGCTTTTCCTACAAAATCGCTACTTGAAGGCGAGCACAAGGGCTTCTTTCCGTCCCTCTTTTCCTTGAAAGAGGGACGGAAAGCACCCTCACAACCGCAATGGAGGACGGGCGTGAAATTATTGAACTGAATTTGGGGAAAGGCACAGACTCCCAGACGATCCTTATCCATGAACTTGGATTTGGCTCTGGACTTTTCCTCCAATCTTCCTTCCTGACTGAGGACATACTTACTATAAGGGATGGATACGCTCTGTCAAATCAACAAACTATTCCAGAAACGTCCGGTCATTTAAGCCATCCGTCCAAAGATAATGATGAAGGAGAAGGTTGAGGAGAAGAGGAGATGAGATGTAAATACGACGCTAGGTGCAAAGGTGCAAAGGCTCTGTCCAAATAATGCTCAGCTCAGTCACTTTTTGCGCCGTCCAAGAAGAGGAAAAGTCACTCTCTGCCTAACGGCAGGTTTAACGAGAGAGAGTTCACTGAGGACAAACAGAGGCTGCAGGTGATTCTTCATGTCCTGCTCTGCTCGCGTGATAGTGTATCTTCCACAAACCACTCAGATCCGAAATAGTTCCAATAGTCAGTACCATGATTTGTAATAAAATTCCTTTCGGCACCACATGGTACTCGTTTGTGCGGGTTGTACAGAGCGTCTAGCGAATTAAATCGAAGGTGACCCGAGTCACAGCACATGCTGAACTGGTTCTGTACACCGTAAAGTGATTCGGTCCATTTCCCTACTTGCAAGTTGGGAATTGAGTTGAGAGTGTTCGTACACGCCGTTCGACTGAACCGATGATGGATCCATCCACAGTTCCAGCTGCACCCCCTATTATAGTTCGAAGGACAGATAGCTTGCATTTACTAAGCATCCAGCTTGGTTCACTCTTTGAATGCGGCCGCACCGTTACATTCAGCAGCATCTAATCTGTTGTTTGGCGTTCCAACAACTAATCGATCTCGTCACAATTTGACCCACAGGCTGGAATAAAGGAATAAAGGAACAAAGTGCCCGATTCAGAAACAACCGCACCGTAAGACCACGTCGTCTACACGAATCTGTGCAGTCGCTCGTTTGTTTTTCTTGCCATGGAAACCTCGACGTTCATGTCCGGTTTATCCGATTTGTCGACCGAATTATGTGGTAATTTCACTTCCACCACATCCTGTGCAGATCGGCAGATTTAGATCGTATCTGTCCCCAAAGCAGCAGAGTAGGGCCACCATTTACTTTTAGCTGACTCGAGTGTAAGGTGGCACCGTTCGTTTTGCAGATTCAAGCGCCTTCGAGGATGGACGGACGCATTCGATTAGTCGCTTAAATGTCCAATCTCGGAACTTCGTCACCGGCCAGAGAACAGAGGCACCATTTTGTTTACAGTTGCTCACACAACCAACCAGATGAGCCTTTGACCTGCTGGCTGCTGAAGATCTCTCACGCCCCGAAGCTCCTCTCCAGAGAGGAGGCACCGTTTGTGCGCATTTGTCAGAAGGCCCATTTGCTCGCGGATAGGGAGGAGGTCACAAATCAGGCGAGGCAGTCGGCCTCGCCCCACAGCTTCCTCACCTCGGCCACATCTCCGAAAGCAGCTCGTGCGGATTCGTCAGCACCACCTTTCGGGGCCTTTCCTTTTCCCACTCCCGCGAACGAGCGCACAACGAAGCGCGCGAGCGAGCTCCAGATCTGGGCACAGCCACACGTAGCACCGTTCCTTGACAGGTTGCGGTCGCGTTCGCTAGCGGTGTCAGTACCCCCCAGGTTCAGCTCACGTGTCGACGAGCCATTCGTGCGGTCCGCTACCGCATCGCAACCGGACTTCATCCCCCCCCCGTCCATCCATCCATCCATCCATCCTCCCTCCCTCCCTCATCGCCTCCTACAACTCCTCGTCCTCCCCCTCGCTCGCCCTGGATTCCTGGCCTCGCAGGCCACCGTCGCACAATTGTGCCCACTACCGCTCATCGACCATCATCATCTCCCTGACCCGCCATCGCCTGCAGCCAATTCAGAATAGCGGGAGCGAGAGACGAAGCTATCTCTGGCTCCATTCCACCTCCAGCCATCGTCTTCCATGCGACTGACTCAAGTGGGGCAAGTTGGACGGCCGTCGCCGTCGCTCGCACGTCGAATTGGCTGGACTGCTGCCGCTATCTATCGAGGCGAATGTGGTGGTGACAGATCGAAAGGGCGGAGGAGGATCCAGATAGGCACGCAGCAGCGAATGGAGTATAGCTTCGTGCGGCCTGGGTGCAGTTAGCGGTTATGAGCTAGTTCCTGGGGGCCTTCATGGTCGCCCACTTGGGGCAACAACCTTTCGGCCGCCTCATCAATTTTGAGTTGTTCGGCCTTTGTCCTCTGGGCCCAAGTGGTCCGGTCCGAGCCGTGCCGATATTATCTGCTGCCATCTCTAGATCTCTGCTGCTGCTCCTGGGGCCTGGGCCACACCGTTTGCCAGGCGACATACAGTCAGTCAGTCAGTCAGTCGATCGAAGGATTTCCACGCCATCGTACACAACAGTCTGACCGCCAAATTTCCCGGTCCAATTTCCCGACCTCCGTTCGGAACATCTGCAACGAATTCTCTTTCATCGAATTTCATCTTTCATTCTCTTTCATCTCTTTCCCAGTTGTCCCATCAAGTAATTATCTCCATGTTTCAATGACAACTCCAGATTTTCTCAGACTGAACGTGGTGGACTTGGTTCGTTGCCTATCGACGGACTACGGTAGCACGGCAACATGTTGCGATTAATTTCAACCCGACATTGCAAAAATTAAAGTCCGAGTTAGAACTGGAGCTGTCTGTGGGGGCATGGTAGAAACGCTTTGAGCGTTGGTACCTTTGTCTCCTGGTAAGTTTGCAAACATACCTGACAGTTGTTTTACATCAACTTCTACAAATACTTTGGATTATATTGATCTGTATTTCCAAAATTCTACCCCAAAAAAGAACCATCGTATAGGAAATTTCATCTCAATACCAAATGTATTCAGATACACGTGTATTGTCTAAGCTAAGGTCAAGGATCTCTTCAACATGTAGGAGGTACTTTTGATTTTAAGTAACTCTTGTGGATAATTTTGATTTTTTCCATTGAGGTGGTTGGTAGTTCCACCAATGACAAGACGAAAAGCCACTTATAAGGGACAGTTAAACAAAAAACTATGGGATTGCTCCGCCAAATCATACAAAGAAGAAACCAGGCATGGGTCATGTCCCGATGACATCACAATGGAAAACCTTAACTAATTATCTTAGAAAAAAAAATATTATTTCACAGTTTCTAAGATAACGAAGGCGTCATCTAACGCCGTTGCTCTGCTTCCTTCACTGCACATTGCACCCACTAGCGCTCTCTGTAGAAACGTATGAAGTAAAATACGCTATGCAACAAATTTTAGTGAAAGATTCAATACAACTGACAGCTTTTCTTTCGTAAATGTACAGACTTGCGGATTCAACGTGACAAATTTAACGAGATGAATCTCTGGCAGAGCACATGGAAAAGGTTATATATACTTGGACCTTTCATCCAAAAAAGTTTTACTGAACTGATCCAGATTTGACCCCTTTGTCAAAGAGGTGATAAACATTTTGTGGTCCCCATAGTCAAGAAGCAAAGTTCAGTCATAGAGACAATGCTACGCTTCTTTGCAGAAGTGGGGGTCTGCATGCAGAAACTGAAAAGACTCAGACAACCCTGGACTGGTGGAATAACGTGATCAGTAGTTTCATCGTTGTGTCGGCCAAAAAGATGACACATGAACGGAAAAGTCTGTTAAGCATATGAGTTCTTTTCGTTCTAGATAAAATTGAGTTGAAACTCTAATATCAACTAAAGATTTTTCTGCATGTCAATTCGTATCCTCTAATAACTCAAATATGCATAATTACCCGTTAGTTCTCCCTCGTTCTCCTTAAATGAAAGAGTTACAACTTGTACATCATCTGATATTGTAGGCTGAAATTGCAAACTGCTGGTTTAGAGTCGACAACGCATGAGTTTCTACCCTACCTTAAAGATCTGACCATGCCTCGGTTGGACGGATGAAGAGATTCAAAGCCATATCCAACTTCCTTCTGCTTGCAGTGAGGTACATAATGCACAAGGAAGTTGCTATGCTGACTTTGGTGCGCCTTCTCAGATTATTGAGATTTTAGAACCATAATCATTTGTATTAGACGGTGAACAAGGAGAATCTGCATGAAAGTCTTAGAATGGGTGTCTTCTTATATTTGACTTGACAATATGCCTCGTATCAAAGCATATACTGTTGGAAATAAGTTGATTTTATTTTTAAAAAATTTATAAGGAAGCATATTAGATTACGTCAAAATTGTTCATCGTTCAAGAGGTAGATCACATTCTGACGTTGAATTTTCTCGCAAGTTAGATCGTTTCTTTGAAAATCACCTCAATATCGTGGCAATTGATACGCTATAGCGTTTTCATTTGCTTTTGCATACCTCATGCTAAGTGAATATTTCTCATCTCTTGTTGTGGCACATGACGGCTACTGAAATTATTGATGAGGTCATATAAATCCATTCCTGCTCAATATTGTAAGCATGGCTTAAAAATAAGGTACTGGTGACACTTCGATGTAGTCATATCGTTATCACAAGACGCTGACGAAATCTTTTTCATCTGCAATTACCGATACTACTTGAATTATTAGGCAGTCAGAAACAGTTTCTTCAGGATGCATCTCTTGAACCATGAATAACGATTTGGATTGAAAAACCTTGAGGTGCTAGAAAGGTAACACCATGCTCATATCATTCGTTATGGGACCGTCATTAGTGAGATCTGTATAGCAGCCTGAGGAGAATAACTACGTATTTTGCAATATTGCGGATTGAAAGTTGACCCAAACTTCATTGGAACTTAGCTACATACAAATGATTGAGGGCTGCATATTAATACCTTCCAACATATATGCAATGTGCTCTTGTTACAGTGGTTTTGGTTTGCAAACGATTCCACTCGAATTACTCACAAGAAGATAGAAAGAACATAATTCCATTATGAACCTTGGGAGGAGATCATAAGGCTTCAGTATATTGATGAAGGAAATCTGTAGTCAGCATTGTATTGGTATTTACTTCAATGACAATAATAAGTGCTCGCATTAAAAAACTACAGTAGAAGGTGCCTGAATGTGGACTTTGACGAAATGCTCAACTGTTAAGAATATATTCACTCCACGCCGTTATATGGATAATTCAATATAGCGATGTATGCAGTCTTTTTTTCAAGCTTTGAATGAGCAATTAGCTGGGTGTCTCTAAACCAGCATACTGATTAGACAATATATTAATAAAAATAGAAAAAATAACATTTATCAATATTGAGACTCTAGTTCTTTCACCTTCATGTGTACCAATAATGACCTGAGAGTAAGGAGAGTTATTATGATCAACTCTGAGAGGTTCTCGTTTGAGTCAGCTTCTGCTTACAAACTCATCAGGCATGGGACGTGACTGGAGGGCTCCTTCCATTCACAAAGGCCACGAGGAATCTCTCAAAACATGTCATGTTATGAGTTCCCGATGAATGGTCGGGAGATAACAAAGGCGGAGTAGCAACATAAAATGGGTCTGGTTTGTAGTATTTTTCTTCCCCCTCCAAAGGAAATATTCCATGGCGTGAGGGATTATTAAATTTTACAAGCATATGCTTCTCTCACCAGAATACAAGTAAATTAGATCTTACGGTGATGAGCTCCCACTTCATTTCATTGGAATTTTTGTGGCATGAATTGTGTATCCTACACTGCCCTCGTCTCCGATCCCCTAACAAAAACATTTCTATAATTATTATATGACTTGCAAGAGATATTTCCTAAATTCTTTTGTTCCAAATTTTTTTTATCTCATTTCCTGATTATTTTGTCCTTGAGTAAGTATCTCCATAAATTTGAGGATTATATTTCGAACTCTCATCATCTAAAAATGAGAGACAACGTGTCCAATTTACAACTGGACCTCGGATGCTTGATCGTATTTGATGCATTTACCCAAACTACACCAGGCCAGTAGAGTACTATGTTGTTACTTGTTGTCTCCTTCAGTGTATATAGTTTTGTCAACATCAAAATAATATGCACACTCCAATCGCATTTGGATAGGATTTCGATCATTGTCTTTGATAGCCTTACAAATGATGTAATTACAAATTTTTTAATATATTCTTTCATACATTCTTTAACTTTGGAGTGATTGTAGGATTGCTTACATATAATAGGTTTTTTGTTTTCGGAATAAGAGAGAATGTTGTCTGAATTTGTTCTATTTGGTTCAATCATGATACAATAAATTTGTATTTTGTTGTTGTTAAACATTTAATCCAAGCAACATGATCTGAAATCTTATTCTATTCCCAAAATTGCATTCACATAGGATACGAGAGAAATTGAGTTTTAGATAGAAAAAATATAACCAAAATGCGCATGCAAGTGCATTTTGGGCACTTCCACCACCAATAGTATATTGTTTGAAGTCATGTGTGAGTGTCAGGGGTTATACTCACTAAATATTTAAATATAATATGAGTGATGCTTCATGCCCATTTTTCCGAGAGAACCTCCGGCACAATAGACACCATGAATCGGTAGGTATCCTCGAGCTTCATCCACGTTATTCTCAATCATTTTGTCGCCTGCAGGCTGAAGGTGTGAGCCCACGAATATAATCTCACCAAACTCACCTGGCAAAATTGGGGTCTCGCAAACGTAATATAACAAATGGTAAATTAATTTTGTGACTGGGGGCAGGAGGTCAAGGTAGTGTGATGGTTCAATTGAGTAGATCAAGGGAGAGTGGAGATTCGCTGGCCTGGAAATAAGCCAGAGCGTCATTGTACAGCCCACACAATCTCCCCTTCGTTCCGCAAGGCTGCCTCGCGAAGCGCGAATAGGGAAATTGGAGCTAAATCCCTAAAATAATTCAATCTATAAAACGAAGCGTCGTCTTCTGAATTTCTTCCCCGCTTATCCTTGTTCTAAGTGCACCATATCTTGTTGGTAAGTCCGAGCAGGTGATTGCGCCAGAACCGAATAATCTAATAGAAATCAAGGGTCTCTTGGATTACTCATGTAGGAAGAAACTCCGTGTATCGAAAAAACTGGTGTTAATCACCATTTGCTATTAAAAACAAAAAATACCAAAAACAAAAAACTGATGTTACGAAGTCTTCTCGATGTAAGCTCCTAGTGCGAGTTGCTGGGCGTGGAATACGCTCGAGCGCCGTCGTCAACCAACCCCCGTCACTCATATCCTGTCGAGAAATACGAGAAATATGCGTTCTTCTGGATGTTACCATGTTTAGTAGTTACAGCAAGAGGCTGGTGACGCAGGAACTCAATGGGTGGATGTACTCGCGATAAGACAGTTTCCTCCGGACATGCATACCGAGCAAACCGGTCATCTCAGTAAGTGTGTCGCGCGCCGTCGATGACCCACATCTGGACAAATTTAGATCGGGTGCATCGGTGCCGTCGATAACCCACATCTGGATAAAATTAGATCGGGTGCATCGGTGCCGTCGATGACCCACATCTGGACAAATTTAGATCTGCAATGCTTGTAAAGTGTACCCGTTCGCTTCGTGACTTTCTGTTATGAATAGTTGTAAATTCGGAGTGCAGGAGTATAGTTACCACACCGTCATTAAGTATTTGATTGAGGATGTTGTGTTTATTGGTGTGGGAGAATGTGGATAACTTACACTGATATTTATTAAGTAAAGATAGAAGAAGAATATATTTAGCTTCAACTGGTTGGATAATTTATAGTGATCGTTACTCATTTTATATAGGATTCTTGCTTCCATTGCATAACTTGAAAATGAAAATAAGAATTAATTATAAAATTTTGCAAAGAACTTATGTTCGTTTTCATTCACTTATTCTATTATTTCTTTTCATTTTGAAATTTGTATAGAACACCACATTCAACATGAGAAGGGTAGGGAAACCACTACAATAGTCCTACATATGTATCTATATTTTTTCTTATTGTAAAGTTTTATGATGGCTGGTACGATCCGGTATATGACATTATTTTTAAAAACGTTACTTCTTTAGATATAGAGCGTGACATACAGAATGACATATTTAGTAGTTGGTTGTGATGTTATAAATCATAGCCTATGTGGCACGTTCGTTCTCGACGGGCTCTCCCCGTGAACTTTTGTTATTTTCTGTGAACTTTCCCTCCTTCCGATGAATTTTTCTCAATGCATGAATACTGTACGAATACATGGAATTGTCGAGCTCAGACAAATACATCTGCTTACAACAATGGAGAGGGAGGACGGCGGAGAGAGAGGAAAAAACGGGAGTGTGAACCAACCGAAAGGAGATCCTCACCGCCGTGCGATGCAAGGAAGGCGAAGGAAGGACCACTCCATCTTGCCGAGTCGAGAAGACAAGGAAATAAAGGGTTGATGAACTACTCAACCGAGAACGCGAAAAACTGCCTCTGCGACCGAGATTTAATGAGATTTAATATCATGTGCATAAGTTTACATGGGCTCGTTCTTTGCCACCTCCAGCTCTGCCGCATTAGACATATATTATTAGAAGCCTTGTGGATTTGGAGAACAGACAGCGGAATCTAGGCGAGAAATGTATCACCCATTTTCTGGCAGGTTCATTACCAAACATCTTTCGGTCAGTTCACCCTTTCCGCTGTACGGATGAAACTTGCCGTACGTTGTTACTTGTGAGGACAAATTTGCTGAGTACAAGTTCTTGGCGTACATCCATGGATGCAAAGTTCGTTCATATTCCATCAGTTGAATTCGGCTTGTTCGAGTGGTGACCTGAGTAAAAATAAACTAGCCACGGTCATGGATTAATATAATCTGTTTTCAGGCACGTAAAATCGCATTTGTCCCGGCAAAGTGACCTTTTCCGCACCATATTTTGAAATTCTTTGGAAGAGAATGAAGCACCCGTTTAGAAAAAGAAAGAAAAAGGGATGGAAGACCCCCAATAGATGGATGAGACCGAAGGAGTAAGATGGGTCAAATGCTCAGCGGTGATTTCTGATTTGCTAAATAAAGTAGTTTATATTAAAAAAGGAAAATCCACAATAGGTTTATCACCGTGCATCCAGTTCACGATTTTACATGAAACTTTAATTATGAAAACGATGGCTAATTTTTTGGAGCAAAAAGTTTAAAATTTGATATGCCATGATCAAATAGAAAATTTGCATGAACAAAGCATTCATCATCTACATAATATTGTAAATTCTACAATTTGACTTGCTCAAGTTTTTGCTCGAATTTTGAAGCATTTCAACATGTCCAAAGTTGTCCCGCATAAACCAATTTACCAAAAGAATAAGTCAATTGTCTGTCATTGACTTACACAAAGGTTACAATGTCAAGGTCAGAGAATAAAACAGTATTTATCCATCAATGATTATAGATGCAGAATCAATTGTAGGAAATATATATCTGATAGAGAAAGTCATTGCGCGGGCGAGAGGAACAGAAGAAAGGAAAATAAATGAGGGATTGTTCTAGTTCTTCCATGAATATGTTTCGAGGTGGATTACGTGCTTGCGCTTTTTAAGAATTTAAGAAGGCAATGACGTATAAAAACAAACACAAAAATGTTATTACAAGAACGTGAGATCAACACCAGTCACATGTATAAAGAACATGGGTTTGATAAGGACAGCCAAGCTTTCAGATAAGCATTGGACTTATGCTCGAAAAAATGTGCAAACCTCATCCTCAGCGCGAACTTCCTTGCAGAAACCGCGCGAGAAATAATTATTGCCACGTACAAGACTTCTCGAGCGATGCCTGACCCAAATAGTTTCTTTTTTAAGAATTCCACCTCCCGAGTGTTGCACACAAGATTGATTGGGACAGAAGGAAAACCGTATACTTCACGACAAAGTGCCCCAAAACAGTTACAAGATTGTAGTCCACGGTACCAAATCAGTCACAGTCAAGAGGGACGAGGAAGGACTTCAATAATAAAGCCAGCCCTGCTCGGGAGATCTGCTACGGCCATCACTTTGTTCGAGTTGGTAGAACCCCGACCGAAAGACGAGCCCTTTTCTCAACTGCTTCGCAAATCCCACAGGAGGCCACAACGTACAGATTATAGTATAATCTGTACGCTATACGTATAACCATCTGTCAAAGAGCACCGAAGTCAGCATACTCGTGGCCATGACGGCCGACGCCCTCGAGGTCTCCCTGTACTGATCTGTACGCTCAAGGCATCTACAGTCGTACTGTATCGTTCCGTCGATTTACAGTACGACCACTTAAAATTCCAAATCTAACGTCGTATCATCGTACAGAGGGCCTGGACTCACGAGGCGGTCCAGCTCATGAGTTGGCATCTTATACACCCTTCCCTCTCCCTCTCCCATTCCCATTCTGTGTTCTGCGGTGGCCCCCGGGGGAGGAAAGAAAAGGGAAAAAACCTGAAACTGTAAAAATTGTAGGGATTAGACCGATAAAAAACCATCAAATCTTCACAACGAAATCGGAATATTCCCCAAAAGATCCGGCAGAGACGTCGTCTGATGAGAGACCCACTGCCATCCGTGAGCGGAAGGAACGATGGGCGTGATGTGATGATTTTATTTCAATGCTAGCAGGGGGAGGGGCATGGGTTAAAAATGAAACCGCCTACGTAAGCCTTTTGGGCCTTACGTAGGCGAGGAGCGGGCGAATGAGGATCGTAGGTTTCCGTTAGAATGAGAATGCTGCGAGGTACGACGGATCATGAGAATGGCGGAGACCGGGAGCGGGTGGCGGGTGGCGGGCGGCGGGCGAGCGCAGCAGGAGAATGGGCTGCATGCCACTATATGCATGGTGGTCACGAGAGCATGGCGGGGGAGAAACGCATACATCATGGGGGGATGCATGCATGGGGGATGATGGGATGATGATGATGATGGTCAGAGGATGTCTGAGGTCCACTCGTACAAAGCGTTCGGCACCGAAGGGAGCCGGCCAGTGGAGGGGCGGGCAGCCCCGAAAAAGCTCCGAAAAGGTCCGGGGCCGCGGATCGGAGCCCGAGGGACCGCGGCCCGCGTATAAATGAGCAGCAGCTTTAGAGCTGGGAGTCTCTTTGTCCGGTCGGTACTCAGAAGGAAGGAAGAAGTTGGGCCGAGCCCCTGCCCGCTCCCGACCTCCTCCCTCCCTCCCTCCCTCCTCCTTCCCTCCTCCGCCTACCGCCTCCAACTTCTGGCCCCGCTACTTAGGCGCCCGGCAGAACAACCCAGAGCCCAAGAAGACGAAGAAGAAGAAGAGGGGCGAGGACAGAGAGAGCTCGAGAGAGAGAGAGAGAGAGAGACCGCCAGAGCGGAGCGAGGATCGCCCCAATTCCATCACGCACTTGTCCGATCCGGGCTTAGACAATTTGCCGAGGTCGTTCAATTCTGTGCGCTCGCTCGCAATTGGTTGCGTGCAGGGGCGAGAGAGCGGACCGTGGATTCTTTCTAGAGCGGCCGACCGGACGAGAGGACGAGACGACCAGGTGAAGGAGGCGGCGTCGGCGATTTGAGAGAGAGGCGTCCTGATTTAGCAGACTCGGGCGGACCCGGTTGATTGATTGAGGGAGTGAGTGGGTGCTTTGGCGGAGAGCCGGCCGGGATTGCGAAGAGGAGGGGTGTGGGGCGAGAGTTGGAGAGTGCAGCTCTGCAATTTGTAGGCGCCGGAGGAGAATAACTGTCTGAGCCTGTTTCTTTCAATGCGAGAGTGCGGCCCGTAGATCGATAGATCCGTGTAGGTGAGAGAGGAATTGGGCGGAATCGCGGCGGTGATTGGCGGTCTGGGGCGCGAGAGCAGGTCCCGTTCTTTGCTGTGCGGCGGTGTGGTGCGGAGAGGAATTGCCGTGCGATTGGAAAGTTGGCGACCCGTGTGGTTCTCGAGTAGGAACGAGCGAGGGGAAGTATGGAGCGGAAGCACATAGTTGCCGTGACGGTCGGAGCGGTAGGCGTGGGATTGGCTCTGGCCGCGACTCCGGTGCTGTTGCGACGAAATGACTCTCTCGCCCTGCAGCGAGAGTTGGTTGAGCTTGTGCAGTTGGGAAAGGACGGCAGTGTCACCGTTCAGGACTTGCCTTATTATCTCAAGTAAGTTGAGAATTGGACAATGTCCGACTCTCGGGCTTCAGTCCACCACGCTTCGCCAATTGCTTCCAGCAGTCCTCTGTTCCTGTGCGCGGGGAAGTCAGAGATTGCCTTCTCTGCTTTCTGGTTTTTCGGGTTTATGCCTCTCGTCGCAATACATGTTCCGTCGCGCTGTTCGGCGGCTGTTTTTCTTGACGTTGTATCGTACTCGTGTTTCCAGTGACCAGGCGTGTCATGTGTTGACCAATGCTGCATATGTTCACTTGAAGCAAGCTCAATTCAGCAAATTTACCAGTCAGTTGTCCGCGGCTAGCCAAGCCATTCTGCTCTCGGGTCCCGAAGGTAATGCTTTGAAATTTATTCATAGTTGGCCTGCGCGTAGGTCGAATTCTGGAACCTTTGCTCTCGTATGAAACTCCTCTGACTGGCGTTTTGGAAACTGTTCGTTGCAGGGAGTGAGGCTTACCATCAAAGAGTTGCGAAGGCGTTGGCTCACAACTTCGAGGCGAAGTTGTTACTTCTGGATGTAACTGACCTTGTGTCCAAGGTAAGCTGATGTGTGCATAGCGGACTTCCTTTCCCCTATATTATAGGATGCTGTATACTCCTGAGCTGGCTATTTCTGCCAAACCGAACCGCTCCGCACGCGCGCAACGTGGTCATTGCGAACTTCGCCCGTAGCTGAAATTGTCATCGTCTTTGGTCACCTGGTAACGATTTTGGGTGTGATGCATATTCGTCTTCTCTCTTAGTTGTCAAATTCGAGCGTGTCTTCCGATAAACATGTCGAGTTTTGATTTAGATGTGAGAGGGTCGTGAATTTGCGCGGTCATTTGCGAGGAGAGTTTGTCGTTATAGTGGAAGTGTATTCCTCTGTGTAAATCTGACGAATGCCTATTGCGTATCGGTCGTCATTGCAGAGTAAGGTCGGAGCGCTGACCAGAAAGCGCAACGCACGGGTAAGTTCACGCGATTTTCTATTTCAAGCATAAATAAGAACTTCTTGCACGGTTCAAGAAGTAGCCAATCGTAGCGCTTGAGGATTTTTTGTCGTACGATGCATAAATTTTCCTTAAAATTTTCTGAGACATGAAATTTTCTCGGCAGCAGTTTGCACCCAAAGATGTCGCGCGAAGTCTGTTCAGTTGGATTGGTACGTCGAAGAAGTCAACACCTGGTTAGTTCATACTGCTCCATCTGCCCCGCTGTTTTATACAGACGAAGATTGTTCGACCACTATCTCCCATTTTTCATAGGCCATTTAACACATTTCCTAGTGCTGTTTAAGTTGTATTGTATGTGTTTGACGCTTACGTATCTATGTTTCCTTTCCGACAGAACGTACCACTTCTTCAAATCAAGGGAGATCTTGGTATGTAAAATCTTTTCAATATGGCTACATAATGTTTTGTATTCAATCTCCTGTAATTTCGACCTCCGTCATATGTTGAATGCTGACACTCTGGGTAATTTGCAGTGCTGACTGCGGAGCAACTGCGGACAAAGTACAGAAAAGTGAAGGATTTTCTGGGAAAGTCGATGTTGGTGGTGAGCATTCATTGTTGTACTTCGTGTTCTTGTCAATTGATTGTTAGTCCTTTTCTTTGCTTGGTTGTAAATGTTTCGAGCTGATGCATTTAAACATGGATTTTTGTAACAGCTGGAAAAAGTCGGCGAGCAGTTTACTTCGAGGAAGAAATATTTGTCGATGCGCTTTTCAAGGTATGTATTTAATAAATTTCATACATCGCTTAAATAATGTATGTGCTTCTCTTCATGGTTGTCAAATTGTGTAGATAATTAGCTTCTAAGCACATCTTCTAGTTTCACTGTGTGCAGAGTGTAAGGTTAAGGGTCTTTGATTGATGATATTTTGCAGGTTCTTACATCGCTTGCGGAAACAAGTCCCGTGGTCGTGTATCTTCGAGATGTCGAAAACTTTTTCTTCAAAGGACCAAAAATGTACTCGCTTTTCTTGAGCAAAATGGAGAAAATGCAAGGACCAATAATGATTCTGGGATCGAAGATCAAGCCTGCAGAGGGTCACGTAAGTACTTTGTCGTGATGTAGAAGACAAGATCACTCAGGAATGGACTTCGAGTTGTGGTCATTTCGAGAGAAATTTTTTTGTTTTAAAATGCCTGGATGTGAATTTTGGGCAGGACTGATTTATGTGGGTATGTGTTTTCATATTATTCATTGTTTTGCAGGAAAATAAGGAGACGATCGAAAAGAAACTGAAAGTTCTTTTTCGATACAGCATCAGTGTGAAACCCCCAGAAGACAATGTGCGATTAGTCAGTTGGAAGAGTCAGGTTGAAGAAGATATGAAAGCTATACAAGCGCAGGATAATCGCAATCGCATCATAGAGGTAGCTGTGAATGCCGGATGTTGCTGTGTTTGCCGGATGTTGCTGATTTGCGTATGTACTGAGGAAGGATTCAATCATCTTTGTGTAATAGATGATTCATACATCATGTCCATGACGTTTGATCTTCCATTGTGATTTTGTAGGTCTTGTGCGCCAACAATATCGAGTGTGATGATATTGCCTCAGTGGGGTTTAGTGACACTCAGATTCTGAGCAATTGTAAGTAACATTTGCTGTACAAATGTTTTGTGCTGATCGTTTTACGCTGTAGATTTGAGCAGTGTTTAAGTTATAGTGTTTAACAATTTGTTAATGTTTTCAGGTATTGAGGAAGTGGTTACTGCTGCCTTCACTTATCATTTACAACACAATGAAACTCCACAATATCGAGGCGGACATTTACTGATATCTGCCAAAAGGTACGTATACTAGCAATTTATATTCACGAAGTAATGAAAGTCAAGAGTGTGTTTGTCACTTGCTCACGGTTTTGTCAAACTTATATTGTGCTTGCTTTGCCAACAGCCTCTCTCATGGTTTGGCCGTTTTTCAAATGTCGCGTATGGATTCGAACAAGTTACAAAGCGAGCTGAAATCCGAGCCAAACAAGGTAAATCCATGACGATGTTTTTAATCTTGCCAAGTGTAGAGTTTCCATGAGTGTACGTCTTTAGCGAGTGAAATATATTTTGTGAACGATGGTAACAATTGTCTGCAGGAAGTGCAGGAAATCTTAACGGGTAAAGGTGATGGTAAAACTGAAATACCAGTTGCTGAGTCGAAGACTGATAGTAATCGAACTGAGCCAAAGCCTGAGACAGCGAAGACCGATGCATCCAAATCAGAAGCACCCAAACCATTTGCTACTCCTGCTAAACCCGCCGTGAGTTTTCCACTAACTTTCATCACCGCGAGAGTATATCACTTCTTGAATTCGAAATTTTGGATTAATATGTTGAGCAATTTATACAGTATGCTCTTTTTTTTCAAGCTCTTACGTATGTTTGGAACGTGCAGCAGTATTAAAATATCAATAAAGTTTGTAACTTTGATACGGAAATGCAGGATGTTGCTCCCGATAATGAATTTGAGAAGCGAATCCGCCCTGAGGTGATACCAGCAGGAGAAATTGGCGTTAATTTTAACGACATTGGAGCATTGGAAAACGTGAAAGAGTCATTACAAGAACTTGTAATGTTACCTCTACGTCGACCTGAATTTTTCAATCGAGGAGGTCTAATCAAGGTATTAATGGAGTAATTGTCGAGCCCGTTCGTGAAATGACTTGTATATAGAAAACAAAATTGTTCGCAGAAGTATGCTGACTGTGAGTTTGTCTGCAGAGATGTAAAGGGATCCTCTTGTTCGGACCACCTGGAACAGGAAAGACAATGTTGGCAAAAGCTGTGGCCACAGAAGCTGGAGCTAGTTTCATCAACGTATCTATGTCAGCTATCACCTCCAAGGTAATGATTGGTATTGTGATGATTTATTATCATATCCCGACGCCTTTGACTGGGTTAAATACATGCATGAATTTGTTTTATGAAGGTTTGTTAACATGCTGACTTATGTCATTATACTTTGGTAGTGGTTTGGCGAAGACGAGAAGAATGTGAGAGCTCTGTTCACCTTGGCTGCGAAGGTGTCTCCTACGGTTATATTTATTGATGAGGTAATTTTTCAATTGGTTTATCTTCTAGATGTTTATTTCGAAAATGAAGGTTCAAATGCTTATATTTCAAATCTGACACGCAGATTGAAAAAGTTTATTGGACTGCCTTAGGGGATGTGGCGCATTTTGCAAAATAGCATATTTGTTTCTAGTTTAACCAATGTGGATTTGATGTTTGTGACCTTAATCTACAGGTGGACAGTATGCTTGGCCAGCGCTGCAGAGTTGGCGAGCACGAAGCTATGCGTAAAATCAAGAATGAGTTTATGGCACATTGGGATGGGCTTTTAACCAAAGGTGGAGAGCGTGTGCTGGTTTTGGCTGCTACGAATAGACCTTTTGACCTTGATGAGGCTATCATTCGTCGGTTTGAAAGAAGGTATAAGCAAACAATTTTGTTTACAGATTTTCAGATGACCTAATCATGTGCAAGCTTGCATACCAACGTGAATTTATAGTTTTATCCGATGTGTGGAAAGTAGGCAATATAGTACAAAATGGTTCAAAGAGAGGGTAATATATTGCTCATTAATTTAAAGTTTTTTTCTGTTTACTTTGTGGTTTCCAGGATTATGGTTGGTCTGCCAGATGTGGAGAATAGGGAGAAAATCTTGAGAGCAATTCTTGCAAAAGAGAATCTGCATGCGGATTTTGATTTTAAGGAAGTGGCAGCTCTGACTGAAGGGTATTCGGGAAGCGATTTGAAGGTATTTCTATGTATTTCCATTCCTCTTTTCCCAAAAGTTGTTAGTGTAAGATGAAAGGTGGAGGAATACTTATCGCAGGACTAAAGATTGTTCGATTTTTGCAGAATTTGTGTGTGACTGCCGCCTATCGACCAATCCGTGAACATCTGGCGAAAGAGCGAAAGGTATATTTGTATAGATACATCCATTTGACGACATTGTGTATATATTGTTTAACATTTTCACATGATCATTGAATGTGAACGGTGGTCTTAATGTAAATATGTATCAAATTCCATGGTTATAGGAGGAGAAGAGGATAGCTGCTTTGAAAGAAGCAAAAAGGATTAAGGAAGAGGAGGCCAAGAAAGCGGGTAAGGAGATTGAAATTGAAGAAGAAATCGAGGAAGCAGCAACTGACATTACTCTTCGGTCTCTCAACCTTGATGATATCAGAGAAGCAAAGCAACAGGTATGATGTTTTTTTTGTGAAACCGTTTTAAGTTTGGAAGGTTCTGCCTTTCTTTATTTGGGCTGATACTTAGATTTTAATCTGTAGAGGAGGTTTAAATTCACAATAACAATTATCGTTATCACAGGTATCTGCGAGCTTTGCATCAGAAGGGACTGGGATGCAAGAGTTACAAGAGTGGAATGATTTGTACGGGGAAGGTGGATCGCGAAAGAAGCAGCAACTTACCTACTTTTTGTAGATCTATGATTTGATCTTCGCGGTGATGACCTGGGTATATTATGAAAGTTGAAAGGTGGTTATCTGAAGTGGAGTGCGGTGGTGAGAGACGTAGGTTTACTGATAAGCTAGGTAATTCGTTTGCTGGTTAGGTACATTCTTTTGATCCAGCCTTTCTGGAATCCATTGTAGGAGTCAGTTGTGAATACGTAGGATTTGTTAGAACAGAAAAGTCAATTCAATTGAGCATTTGCAGCGATCATATGCTCCGAATTAACATACTAGTAGTTGGAGAGTGGTTTATTGCTGAGTCGGTTGGCTTACCACCTGCAAGTGACAGTGTGTATACCTCTACCTGCTGGTGCGCTCAACTCCTTTCCCGATACGTCGCTGATATTTGTAAAGACATAGGAGTTGGCCATGTTAGATGGAAATCAAGCAGCAGTTGTCGATGGTGATGTATTCTAAAGTGGGAGTTGTTGGGGATAGCGGAGATACCTGAGCACCCACTATGCTAGTGCCCTTTCGAACGTATAGATTTGTTTCCGAGGTGAATTTGACGACGGTCATACTTGTTCAGAGGGATGTTAGAAATTCACTCGCCGATTTGTGGCACAAATTAGTAGTCCTTCAACATGGCACTTGAGCTGCTCTTTTGGCCTTCAGTTTATAAAGTGGAAAAATCTTTGATTTGCTTACCTTTGTCGTTTTATGTTACAATGGATCTGGATGTGAATGTATTTGAGTCATATCATCAATTTTACACTCATATGATGTGTTTTTCATATGACTTCTGTTTCTCGCAAGGATTCGACTTATTGAAATGTGTCGAACGAGATGAAGACAGTGCATACCGCTTCTTCACAACGTTGTCGTCCGATGTTTTAAAAGCTATGTCTTCTGTTCCTGATTCTTTGTAGTTATATGAATAAAACAGGGTTCTATCAGCTGCGCATAGAAGAAAACAGAAATTGGAGTTAGTGTCTGTAATTTTCTAGCTCTTTCCGTTGTTCAATTTAATCAATAATACCTTCTCAGGTCTGTCTGTAATGTTGAAGTGAAGTCACGGCAAATTCAAAGGTCAGTCCGGTAGTAAACAAATACAACTCCTTCCTTTCTTTTCCATCTAACTTTACTTCTGACTTTGTTGTTAATCTCGGTGATTGGTGAATATTATGTGGAGATCATGATATCAGGAGCGAATAATTCTATAGTATTCGTTTCCATATACGTCTTAATATTGAGACCGTAGAACACGTTATAGTGGTACAGTCTAATTAGATTACAAATTTAAGTGGTTTTTACATCGTGCTTAAATCACACATACAGATGAAATGATTGTGGATATATGTAAACGAAAATAAACAATTCGTCAAATATCTTTCATCTCCTGTCTCTCTTCCAATCAGACCAAAAAGTACTCTGACCGAACTGATTGTAACTGTAACATTCTATTCCCCCCTTCCGTTACCTGCGGAAACTCACGGACAGAGACACACAGTATACATCCGTTGCGACCTAGTCTTCGTTATGGCGAAGCTGTAAAAGCTGCCACGAATCGTGATTGTCCACTTAGCTAGGGATAGAGCAGCTGAGCGTGGTGTCCTGTCTCCTGCTGACTGTTTGGCAGCATAGGGACAAGTATGTATCTTTTGACACAACAGACTTTTCATCTTTGCGGCCCGGGACCGAATGGTCAAATGCGGGCCCGATTAGCAGAAGCAAAGGTGAACGTTAGCATGCTTTCATTGGTTGCACTGTCCCCCGGTCGTAATCTAGGCCGGAATTTCGTATCTCCGTCGCCTTAGGCCGCCGCTGTAGGCCCAGCCTCTTTTCCTTCGACACCTCAGTCAGTTTCGCTTTACAGTGCAGGTTCGTGGGAGAGAACATACATGGTACTCAAGAATCTACGTGCAAGCTCATTGATTAGCTTACATGTACACTGCTAAGTAACTGCTACATACAATTTCCGTGTCTAATGGAAGGGAACCAAGTAATGTAGCAAAAAGGTTGCGAAAATCACATCGAGAACTATATTAATAATGTTCATTCAGTGTAATTCTTGATTAAACAAAGCGATAAAATAATTTTACAATCTATTAACATCATACATACGAGCACGTTATATTACACATTATATAATTACTTATATATCAAGACTTACTGCACAGCACAAATCATCACTTCACTATTTCACTGGATAACTTTATCATGTATTGATTGTGCTAGCAAATTTTATACTTAAAATAATGTATACATGTAATGGAATAATTCATAAATAGAAAGATATCTATACCATGTAATATGATTTATCATTTGAAATTTTATATTTTGGAACTATATAGAACTTAACATACTTTACTTACATTAATGAATATGGAATTACTAGTTACTCCTCTCTTATGCATGAAATGAAGAATCACTGTGTCTTAAACTCACTATTTGTAAAGTATAAAATCACATTAAAATTATCATCGTGAAACAAAGGTAGATATGTCTAGATCTGAGTTGACTACAGTTCGTATTAACAAGCCATATTATATTTATTGATACAAATCAACTACAAGGTCTGTAAACTCTGGTGTGAGATATCCACCCTTTGTGACTCAAATCATATTATCATGTTTAGCTATTCTCTAGGCTGCAAACAGTATCAATTATGCATCTTAAATGCAAATGTGTAATTTTTTTAAGGAACAAGCGAGGAATCTAGCTTAGAGATTCACTGTGGGTATCTACAAGTGCATCAATGTCTAATAATGTAACCTCATAACTTCATGATGTGAAAATTCTAGTATCGATGTGAAAGAAAACGTTGTTGGAATCAAAAATAATACTAAACTATCATGGTATGAATTACGACTATGGTACATCAGATCTTAAATGCCAAGTGGTCTAATGCATACCCATGTTGATTCCATAGCAAGAAGTCGATCAGCAAATTGTTTGTCAAAAGAGAATCTTTCCTCTTATCTCTTGTCTAACCTTTAGAGTTTTAACTCCATGACACCACTTGAGGATGATCTGCCTACATATAAACTGAAATATGTTCATAAACCATACCTGAGAAGCACTCTAAGAATCGATGTGAGTCTTTAGATGAAATATTGGGAAAGAAATTTACTAAGAAAATTTGACTCCTCTAGATGATATTCTTATGATCAATAAGTATACTCTCTTTAACCCAGCAAACAAAATCAAACTACACTTACTGCAGTATATTACAGTTACCAGATTGTACGTGGAGGATTTCAACCCAAATCGTTCCTTGGAAGCATCTCCAAGCTTAGGCAAAGATTATTAACATCCTCCAAAACGCAAGAGTTTGAAGAAAAGGCGCAGCCATTCGTGTCAACTCCTTTGGAGCATTTGCAGGCTGAAGGAAAGATTACTGGAATACTAAGAATCAAATTTATGCGCATAAATTGAAAGTGATTATCAAAAGGAGAAAAGGTACAAATCAAAGGCCAGATATCGCAAATGAGAGGAAAACTGAAGAGGCCAACCACTTCGTGACAATAAGAGAGATTAGGATGTGACATGAGAGGTGTAAGTTATGTGTATATTTCGGCCCCAGGTAGGCTCTCCTTGCTTTTGGGTGGTTATATCTTTGTCGAATTGTGATGGTTTGTCATAATTCTTCTCTTGATCTCAAACTTGTTGTCTGTCACTTCCGTTTTACATTTTGTTTTACGATGTACTTTTGGTGTATACAAGAGGTAAGAACTACAATGATTGAAAGCTCTAAACACACATCCATGGTATATCTTTTATCTCATGGCACACTGGAATGCAATAAATATACACCATTCTTTTTGTTAAAAAAAAAAGTGTGCCAAATGGAATTTTTTTTTTAAAAGGAAGACCCTAGAAAACCGACAAGGAAGATGATCTTAAGGGAACCCAAAGGCTAGCCCTAGTGCATCGTGAAGGAAAAAGTGACGTTCAAACGATCATTCTACAACATTTTGATGGTGAAGAGACTACTCCTTTTAGTTTGAAATGATCTATTTGCTAACTGGTCATAGGAGGATTTTTAGCCCATGTTGCTAAAGAACCAGTTCATACGGTCAACGCAAAAGCGAATTCAAAGAAACAACAAATAATTATGGGCGATCAGAAACATAACTCCAGATAATCAGGAGTTTAATGTGTGGGTTTTTCATCACCCGTTTCATGCATATGAATGCTTGATAGCTAGTTAGAGTCTGATCACGGTGGTGATTACTTCAACCGGTGATAGGATGACCATTCCTGTGGTTTAGAGCTTGTTTGGTTGCTCATAAGTCTAGAAATGGTTTGGAGATTTTATAAATTATAATAAGAAGAAAGTAACCCATCATTCTCCTGGTTTTTATATAATATTATAGAATTCGAAAGTTAGGTCCCAAACTGTAGTGTGACAACAAAGTGAGGTCTCAAGTGTAATGTTACAACAAAGTTCACCTGCATGAGATTACAGACACCTCTCCATAGTCTTGCCATTCTACATTCTACATCCATCCACGTAATGCGCTACGATTAGACTCGGTGGATCTTATCCATAAGACATAGCTCCATGAGCAAGCAGTTTCTGACACTATGGCCTCTCTTTTGCTGGTTGGAGCTCCATGCTACTCTAATTTTCTTCAGAGTAGCATTTCTTCACCACATGATCAGCTTTCGCACCTCCTTATCTACCTCTTTTCTCTTTCTTGGAATTTTCTCTGGCCCACTATGGCTTCTAACCGTCATTCGATCTGTTGGGTAGTAACGAGGTGACGGTGTCTAAGCCGCCAGACCGATCTGGGAAGGGTCAAACGTAGACCACCACGTTGCGTCTTGTCACACAAATGTTAAACAAAATTTGGTGTGTTAGACGACAGACGATGATTGCTTGCAAGACCACACCATTCATGGGAACACACACATCAGAGGACCACAAAAGACTCTTTCCAGGATACAAAAGGCTTTGTGTTCGTAACGTCCTATGGCATGTTGAATTGTGGTAGATATTTCTGACGTTAAATTTGATCAGAGAGCTTTTCGACTGAAGAAGAATATCATTTTGCATCAGAGGACAGAATGAATGTTCGAGCTGGCGAGGAATTTGGGTATTGCTGACAACAACAAGGGCGTCTTTTCTGTTGAATTTTAAAAATTAAAGTAGAATTCTTGTGGGAAGTCACACATTCGTTCTTATCGTCCGAAGGGATTAAGATTCCACAACGGGAATTTATTCTCCATTCTTCTCGAGTGTTTGCAGAAATGCTCTGGAGAACAAAATGTGTAATTACACTATGTCTGCAATTGAGTCTGAGAACAGTGATAAGTTGGCCAGAATTTGTTCCAACAAAATCGAGATTTCAACAAACCGACATGGTGGCCAGAACGAGGTCATACTGGAGGGAGGCTGTTTTACCAGAAAGCTCAGCTGATGTGGCATGTGGTGAACCCGCGTTAATCGCCTGTCAGCAAGGGCCTGTGTTAATTGGACGAAGCAACCTCGTGCATTGTACCGTCTGGCAACGAATTTGGCACCCCAAAGAGCATGCGTTTGCGAAGATGACAACAACCTCACAGATTAGCTTGAGTGCAGTGTGGCAGCAATAGAAAATTGTGAGCTTTGTAACGAACCTAACCCCACTTTGTCAAGGGCCACATGCCCTGAAGGGATGCTGATTACCATCCCATCACTAGGCTATAATACGAGTGTTTGTCGGTGTCTCACTCCCTCGTTTCAAAATTATGTTTGTGAAGGAATAACACATACGCCAATCAATGATAATTTAGGTAGTGCAATCATAAGATACAAATCATATACACTAAAGTTGATATTGTATTGAGTGTGAATTTTTATAAGAGTTGCGGTTTTCGAAGATTGTGAAGTACATCACTTGGAATCGCTCTTATGTTTGTAGTCTCTAGAATTCAGAGTCCAATTTCTGATATGATTTCAAGAGAACAATTGCATAATGCAATTTTTGTGAGACTCACTCAATTTAAGTCTGTATATATCGATGAAAAATTGGAACGCTACTTTTCATAAATCCCAGAATTTCCTACCAAATTGCATATGAGACGGAAATTAACAAAATGATAGAAAAAGATCTGTTCAAGAATTCTTCGAATCCTACTGCCATCAATTACGTGATCAATTGGGTGAGCATTTGCAAGATAAAAGAGAGATTCGGAGCAACAATGCAAAAGGTATGTAAGGCCCATCGAGGCCAAAAGGGATGAAACTGGCAATGACAATATCATGACTCCATTATCATCGCAGTGGCAAATATATCGAACTGCACCTAAGAAGGGAGGAAATTACTTGGGACTCATCCGGAATGTAAAAGAATTGACGAGACCCTAAACAATTCATTATATTGCACCCTATCGTCACTTGCGAGTTCTTGTATTGAGAGTTCAACGATAGATTTCAATTGGTCCTAGAAGGTAGCTCGGAATGGGATCTGCCCTTGTTGACCCAACTCCTGGGCTCGTCTACAATTGATTTGGACATGATTCAGAATATCACTCCATTAAAAACAAGACAGTCGCTAGCGAAAAGTTGGCGAAGGTCTGGAAATTCATTTTTTCTACAATGACTTGATCATGCAATTTGATCATTACATAAATCATGCGAATTGCGCATCACAAAATTCATGTTCTGGGTTCATCCAATATTGCTAGAGGTTACTAGGAGCTACTACGCGGTCAAATGCAAGAGAGCCCGCTAGCAGATCGGAAAATGAGGGGGAAGGTCTGGAAAATAATTCTTTTCTGCAATGACTTGATTATCCAATTTGATCTTTACTTTACATAAAGTATGCGAATCACAAATTGCATGTTATGGGTCAATCCAACATTGCTAGAAGGTACTAAGGAGCTACTACAGTAAACTAGAACTATTATCTCTCCGGATTTTAAATCTCCTCAAAAGTAATGACCTTTGCTAAAACTAGATTATAACTCTGTTGAGAGTGTCACTTTGGAAATAAAAACACACGTTACAAGAACTTGGAGAATAACATTGGTGACCGACGTAGGTCCCATAGGATAATTCTCTCCCAGATTCGGAGGAGGAGGTGGAAGAATCAGAGCCCCTACCGCAGTCGGCAGTGCAGCCTCCCGCGAGAGGGGACGAGCAATTGGACAACCACGTAACTGTGCCTCGCTTTCTGTCAGCAAGAGAGGCCGAATGACGTGGTTTTGTCGAGCGAACAAAGTACAGTACACGAATGCCCTTCTTTCCAGAAGCGACTCGATTCGGGTAGAACTTCGAATTCGTCCGGGCAGCTGATTAACGCCAAGACGGTCGAATTTTCTCTTTAAAGCGCCATGTCCGCTGGCGTCAGAGTCGTCGGCCGTCAGTAGGTGGAGCTCTGAGATTGCACCTTTTTGCCTGTTCCTCGGTCTGCAACAGAGCCCTGCGCACTTCGTCTCGTGCTCGAAGTTTTGGCGTTCTGATCCCACAGTTCGGACCGTAGCGTGCTTTTGATACTCTCAGTCTTCTTCCTTTTGTCCAGAGCCGGAGAGAGAGAAAGTAAAAGAACAAAAGCGTTCTCTCATGAAGAAAATCGGATCCACTCTCGCTGTAGCCATTTTATCATAAACCAGATCATGGAACCAGAACGCATCAGGCCTCCATCTGCCCGTACGTCCGCTAGATTTCCGGCTTTAGCCATTGATTTTTCCCTTCACCAGTCTCGTTTTGGTCTCATTGACATTTTCTCTTTGGTGTTCGTTCATTATTCTCAATTATTAACATTTTTTTTTCCAATATTCTAGACCTCTTAGGAGATGGTAGGTATAAACATAACACTTTTTTTTAAAGAGCTTTTATCAAATAGAATAGAAATCAAGTATGTCTTTAAGATTTTTTTTTTCATCAATTTGTTTATGATGAAGGCTTTCTGGCAAAATTGAAGTGAACTCAAAGTAGTCTTCCTAAGTTATTGACTCCACAGTGAAAGGCTCGGCATCGGAAAATCATCTGCGACAGAGTCTATGAGATATGTCTGTAAATAATTTGAATAATCTGAAACATTTGATCTGTTATCCGTGTTATGAAAAGCACAACAGAACTCGACTCAAGTGGCTCCAGCTACTGTAGGCGATACGATTTGGACGCGGTAGCATGCGGTTCCGCACGTGGTTCGGTCCTCGTGGTAATACGAGTTCAACCGTACGCCGCAGCGACGCGCTGACGGCCACACAGACTTTCTACGTCGTTTCCAGTTTGCGGTGCCCGCTTCTTCGACATTTCCAGTTCCCCAGCACGTGCGGAACCGGGCCACTCAACGGGGAGGGAGCGGGGGCGGGACCCACCGGGCGCGGTGCCCGGGCGACCCGAGTCTGGACCAATGGCGAGGCGGACGGGTCGGGACCTTTTGTGCACAGGGCCGATGGTCAAACTGCGAGTGGACCCGTCGGGCCCTGATTTCGGCCGCAGACAGCAGCGCCAGCCGAGCGCACGAGGGCCCGCCACTGCGGTCGCTCTTTTCGGCCCTCGTCGCCCTTCTTGCGCTGGAGCGCAGGCCCTGCGTGCGTTGAATTCGCAGGCCGCCTGCCTCGAGATAAGCGCCACAGCAATGGTCGCATTGCGCCCGGCCATACAAAGACGACGATGCCCCGACCTCCGGCTCAATCTGCGCCCCCACCTCCCTCCTTCTTGCGAGATCGTCGAGATCGTCGTGCCAGTTTCGGCTCTGCGCGCATCGATCGACGGCCTCGTCGCATCTCGCAGCTCGCTCCATCGGCGGAGGCTTCTTGTGGAGGAGACGATCGACTGAGTGAGTGACGGGTCGGGACCTTTTGTGCACAGGGCCGATGGTCAAACTGCGAGTGGACCCGTCGGGCCCTGATTTCGGCCGCAGACAGCAGCGCCAGCCGAGCGCACGAGGGCCCGCCACTGCGGTCGCTCTTTTCGGCCCTCGTCGCCCTTCTTGCGCTGGAGCGCAGGCCCTGCGTGCGTTGAATTCGCAGGCCGCCTGCCTCGAGATAAGCGCCACAGCAATGGTCGCATTGCGCCCGGCCATACAAAGACGACGATGCCCCGACCTCCGGCTCAATCTGCGCCCCCACCTCCCTCCTTCTTGCGAGATCGTCGAGATCGTCGTGCCAGTTTCGGCTCTGCGCGCATCGATCGACGGCCTCGTCGCATCTCGCAGCTCGCTCCATCGGCGGAGGCTTCTTGTGGAGGAGACGATCGACTGAGTGAGTGATTGATAGAGTGCAACTCGTTCCAGCGGCGGATGCTTCTGGTGGAGGGGATGATCGAGTGAGTGAGCGAGTGAGTGGGCCGGTAGTTCAGCACGGGCGAATATGGTTTGGAGGGTTTCCAGGTTCGGGAGTGACCGCAGAGCCGTGGAGTGAAACTCGGCGAGTTTTGTTCATCAAACATTGAGGAATGGAAAATTCGTGAACGACCAGTGGGCGACGCTTTGAGGTTGTTGCACGCTGAGGGGCTTTTCGCTTTCGTCGCGAGGTTTGCGGGGGAGCCTTCTCTGCATGGGGAAGCTGGACTAGATCAGACCTTTCGTTCTTTCTCTCTTTCTTTCCTTCCTTCCTTCCTTCAGGAGCGCGCGGATGTCCGGGACGTAGATAGAGGGCTTGTTCTGAGAGGGTTGAGTTCTGCTCCCTGGTCCGCGAGCGGGAGGCAGAGCATCGCAGCAGCAGCTCAGTGAAACCGATAGGCTTGATTTCATCAGGTGACTATACCTTCTTGCGATGAGGTTGATGTCTTGGGGTTGTGTCTATCCGATGAGAACGTGAAGCGCGAGACCCCAGGTGGCATGCTCGAGCTGGCCAAGATTTTGTAGCTGTCGTTCGTTTTTCGAAAACTCTGGGTGATTGAGGCCCATTCGCTCCTTTCGCGCACGTTCGAAGGTGGTGGTTTTGGTGGTTTTGGAACCAGGGAACAAGCCTTTGTGCTCTCTTCCTCCCCGAAGAACGCACTCATTTATAGCGCAGACAGCTTACTCGGTCTGTGTCCCTTTATCCTGTCAGGTCTTGCGGTGTACCCTTTATCAATGCACAGTGAAGCAGTTCGCTCTAGTGCAGACAAACAGACGTGATTGAAGTAGATCACAGAAGCCTCATGGTATAAATTTCGGTCTATGGGACTCCGAAATAACTATGAATGTTCCGGTGTTACTCGCAAGAGGCTCATGGGTCTAGTTTCACTTGCAGACATGGAGAGGAAGCGGAGGAAGGACGAGGACGAGATTGAGAATCCGCCGGAAAGCTCAGGTGGACGAGGAAGAAGTTCATTTGAGCACAAACTTCCGATTGAAATGGTGGAGAAGATATTTTCAATGATGCCATTCCCTACAGTTTTGAATGTCAAGAGGTTGTCGAAGTACTGGTATGGGCGATTCAGAAGTCCCCAATTTCTTCTCACTGCCGCAAAGGACGCGAATTGGCCTGTCTATGGTCCGCTCGTGGTATCTGGACAAGCAATGATGGGATTTCATAAAGCTTCTGGTACATGGGTGCCGTTTTCACTGCCGAAACATGTTCGCTACGAGTTCTTTCCAGAATTTCGATGTATTACAATCGAGGGATCTGTTTTATGCAAGGTTGAGAAAGCAGAGGGCGTCCACGAGACTCCGTTTATACATGTTGTCGACCTGATCACTGGAGTTAGTAAACAATTGCCATGGCAACTAGGATATATGCTGCGTATGGAACCCGATCAACTTCGCGTTCTTCGAGAAGGAGCGGGAAGTTTCAGGATCTTTATGCTATTCCATACATCGTATGATCAATGCAAGCACTATCAGGATGTGACCACGGTGCTATACGATGCGAGGACAGGTGGAAGGACAGTGAGGTTTCAGTGTGTACAAGCATCGTACATGTTCCACAACAGCGCCTTCTTTCAGGGAAAGTTGTACTGCTTGGGCACGGATCACACGAGGAAGCGCAGACAAATCTGGTCATACGATCTTGATGACCACAAAGGTTGGTGGGCGAAAGCTGCTTGGGCCAAGATTCACGATGGGAAAGTTGAACAATCTTCGCAGCGAATCATAGGAGGCGGTATATTTAACTGTGGATCAAAACTGGTGGTTCTTACGATTTTATCTGTCGCAGTTTCTACGAGCATTTTCGTGGAGGTGCATGAGCTAGAAGCAGTGTCTAGGAGAGTGACTGAGTGGACAGGAGCTTGTCGCAGATTTGATCGAGAGTTCAGTCAACTAGATGTTCCCAAACTTGCTTGCGGTTTCGACGATTGTATATACATGTCCTTCAGTTCGAATCCACTCCTCGAACCTTGTCCAGTTTGGGCTCTTCAAGTCAAGTCCTCGATGGACCTCGATGCCACTTCTGCGTGGCAACCCATTCTTCCTATAGTAGGCCCCCCTGCAGGTCCAAGATCATATCGGACAGAGTTCTGGTTGAAGTTCAGTTTCGAGCCAGGCCGCCAACTGTATCTACTTCCAGATAGCGAGTCGACCCAGGAACCTGTAAGCCGGAAGGTTGTATATCAGTAAAGTCTATTCATATGCTCTGAACCACAGTCTTGTCTATCTGCTCTGGCATACGAGTGAGGTCCTTGACCTGTTTCAGATCTTACTTTCAGATTAAACTGGAGCCTCAATTGCAAGCTGCAATGAAAAGATCTCGTTTTCTTCCACAGTCGGACAGCGATCAATTGCTTCGTCCGCCAGTGGGTGGTTTTGAATCCTATGTCCTACGACGCAAGGAAACCTGGCTGGGAGGCAATTAGTGACTCGCAGTGGGAAATGCCATTGATGCTTTCTTCCTCGAGAGCTTTGGTTTTTATCGTAAGGACATCGAGTTCACACGAAACGCTTGAGATTCATACATGGCGTTCTACCGGCCTACCAGCTGCAGGGCAAGGGCGCAAAGCACTGTAGGCCTGGCTGGTACATGGTTCGAACTGAAACTATTCTTTTGAGTTTAGACTTGAGTTTTCCTCAATTCCCTCGGCGTACAATCAATGTCCATGAAGCATTCCGCAATAGGGGTGTCATGTGGCATTTTAAAGGAATATTTCGAGTGACTGACGGTGCATGAGTCCTAACAGCGTTCTCAGCAGACACGGAAAAGAATCATGTTCACTCGCTTGAGAATGAATCAACTGTAATGTGCGTGGCCCAGAAGTATTAAAAGGTTTCCAAAGTGAATTTTGCCGAACATGACCTCCGAAAGAAACAGTGGTGACCTTCCTAGTACGTCCTAACTCATTAGAAGTCAGCCACATGCCCTAATTGAAGGTTGTCACCTCCTTACTAGTTTCCAATCTTCGAACAGTGAATTGTCGGCCTTAAACCACCTTAATCAAATATCTTCACTGTTTCCACCTTTAGAACCACCGGCAGTAAATTCTCACCCACAGTTGCGCCACTGGATACACGATCCTATATATTCGCGCCAAGTACAAAGACCCAGACCTGCCGGCTGGGAGCTGTTGAGTGATGGGATAATGAGGAATAATGTTAATGCAACCGACATATTTATTGTTTTGTGGGTACTGAAAATGAATCAATTTATACTCTTGTTTTGGAATCAATCACTAAATTTTATCCTCATACGATCGACAGAAGTCAGGTTCTCTCTCCAACCCTCAGCATCCAACGACCTGGCTCCTGTGCAAGCTCTGGCATTCGTTAGAAGGTGCTTCACGAGGTAACAGGTATTTCTTCTCTGACTTTTAATATCTTGCAATCATTATGCTTAGCTCGCCATCAACTTCTCAGCAGAAAGAATTCTTCTTAATGGTCCTGAAATTGTGAACGGGTCCGATTTGACCTTCCTGGACTACTTGTTTAGGCCATCGTCAAACCCATGGTTCGCTTCTTTCAGTTACTCGTTTTGTTTACTGTTCAATACGGGATAATATGAACAGTAAACATATTATCCCGTAATGTGTTATAATATTACGGGATAATATTATAACATATTATTATATTATAACGTATTATTATATGAGCTTCATAATAAGTTCTACAGAAGCAGACAATTTAAAGTATTAGATGTGTGTGAATTTACTATGGGCCACAGCTGCTCCTGATTTAGGCGAATGAATGCACCAAAGGATAGGACGTGTGTGTGGAGGATAGTATCAGCTACATATGCAACATATGTTCTTCTCAGCCATACGAGTACTCGAAGGACCTTCCTCGAGTTGGTTTCCGCGAGGCCTCCTTCCGGCAGTATATTGAATAAGGTCCGTGAATGACAGTATGTCAGCCATTGAATTTGGAAAAAGTCCATAGAGCCTTAGGTCATCTAACCTGGGCAATCAGTCGAGTTACAATCAAAGAATAATAATCTTTGATTGCATTATTCTTTTCACGTACATATTCTGCCAAGAGGGTCAAACTCTCATTCCGTCGATTATACAGTCGCACTCTCTCCGGTGACGTCGGTCTAAGTTCCCTCTGGATTTTCCATATGATGTATAATACCTCCTGAGAACAAAGCTCAATTATATTTAGAACTGCAAGTGATACTATTGGCATCTAACCTTGAACAGATCCATGCTTTAATCTGATTATAAGCATGATAAGTATATACAATGAAGATCAGATGCACAGGTTACTTCTCACCATCATTTTAGTATATCCTAGTACCATAAGTCCTCGGGAGGTGGAAATGTTGAAACAACGCGATGAATGTGCTTAAATTTGTATCTTGTGCATGGTAATATTTGTATTTGACTCTTAAAACTTATTCAATTGCCAGTGATTGTAGCAATGATGCTAACTTACTGTTATGAATCTGACGTGTACCTTTCGCTCTAGTTACCAACCATGTATACTTCTCGAGCTTCCACTTGTAGGACTATGGTATAAAGTAGACATTAAATGCTTACCATGTACTCCATCACTCTGTAGTCAACGATGTGTAAAGACAACTTTAAAGTTAGAAAGCAAAAAACATGTATTGATCTGTTGCATGTAGACAATTTATTTTCTTAGTGGATTCACATATAGAGTTTGGCACACTCCTCTTTATTAGTCGACTCTTTCTGATACAATTCCAAATTGTGGACGACTAGGGAAGTTTTTGTTACAGGCACACCCGCCCGCTAATTACCATGCCCATGCTTGTCAATGGCCATTAGTGTCAGAAACGAAGATGGAACACCAAGAGAGTCATGGGAATGCGAAATCGGCCTAGAAATTTTTCTTCGGATGAGAGCTCGGCGACTCGTATTCAAGTCCCCCTCCTGCTACAAGGGGTGACATCATCGTCCACCCATCCGACTCCGGGGACAACTAGGGCCACGCCCGTTTTTGCAACGCCTAGGCCCGCTTTTGAACTGGCGGGTGTGGCCGTAGCAAAAACGGGTGTGGCCCTAGTAGTCCGAATTTTACTCATACTTGATCATCTTTTTTGGTAAAATCATGAACTTATGTTTGTAGCAATGACATGATTGGAGAGTGTGTAACAAAAACTTTAACAATAAAATATAGATCTCTGTCTATTGTGTATGGAGGATGAGACTAGATAAAGATGGAGATTACTATACTCTTAGTCTTTTTCAGAAGAGAACACTCTTTGCACTTTTCTTTTCTTCTGGGCTTTTTAAATGTGGATAGTTGCATCTTCAAGTTGTACGTTAAATACATGGAAGGAATCATTATTATTATTATAGCATACAACGAAGCACTTGTTGTTTGCTATAACAACAAGTGCTTTGACATCAAAGTATGACAAGAAACTCCATTACTTTTCCTCTTTGTACATCAATTGAATTATAAAACGAGTATCATTATACTATCCATCATCTCAAAATTATAAAACTCTTTATTTAGTCATAGTACTGTATACATGATTCGGCAAAGCTGCGAGATGATGGATGTTGACAAGTCATGCATCGGAGCTTTTCAACTCACATCAATTAGTTTCTCTATTACAATGAGTTACTGCTTTGATTTGTTGAGCCAATTCATGTTCTTATTCATAGGTTAATCTTATATATTTTGGTACTTAGTTATCACTCACTTAGGGTTAATTCACTCTCACTTTACTTTATGCAGTTGTTTGATTGGTCCATGGAGGGTTATAGGGCTCGTGGATGAATAGCAATTATTTCCAAAATAGAGTGTTCGGCAAATTAGGAACTAGCGTATAATAGAGTGAGGGCTAATTAGCCCTAAATGAAGGATAACTAGCACTTCATTACTTTTTCAAATGTAGATTTCATCATACTACTACTGTCTCATTCGAAGTTTATATATAGCAAACTACATATGATCCTAATAATATTTGATCTTTGCTATGTCACAAGATATATCACATGAATGTATAATTGGTATCTCTTATGATCGTCATGTTAGTAAATATATTCACAACCTAGTTCTTCATGTTCGTCTTCGGTTTTTACTTGCAAAAAATTGCTGTTTTCTGTAGTTTGTGGATGTAAATTCTAACCCGAATAAATTTTTGGATGATTGATGAGAAAATTTCAAAAGAATGAGTGACAACAACTAAAATGTCAAAACCCATTATCTCCTAATATACTGATATATATGAAGTTTACATTATTATTCCTCCACCCTTGTAGTTTAGAGCCATGTATTCAAGTCAATATGTACATACTGCTCTAAACTTTAAAGTGATTGATGCATCAATTGACCAGAGTGTGTGTTGTGTGATATTTCTATAAATTAAAAATTACGATAAGTGCATCATTTTTTTTGTATATTTCTTGATTTATATCCTTCAATATGGTTTCGCAATACACAATGTTAGTGGCTATTTTGAAAGTCCATAGAACAACAATGTATACAACTTCGTAAACTCTTGCAGTATATTCACCTATTGATTTAGATAAATAGTATAGTGAAGATGCACATAGATTTCATGACGATGTTATTGAATCCCAGTTGCATGTTTTACATTCGAATTTTAGAAATTAATATAATATGAGTACAAAATATATTTCTGAGTTTGTTATTGGATACAGACAGAGATTATAGTACAAATAAGTACTTGAAATATCGTAAATGACTGAAGTCTGTAACTAAATTTCGTCTCAGGTACTAAATAATATTGAAATCTGAAATTGAACAACTGACTCAGAGATACTTCAAACAGGTCTGAGCCAATCAGCACCCCCAAAAAAATTTGGAATGGAATTGTACATGAATGCAAATAAATCTGTAGCTGAAACTAGTCCCTATAGCATTACGATGAAATATATACATTATTGAAGTTAAAAAAAAATTAGTATAGAAATCATTTAAAAGATTTAATTAACTTATACGCTGGTCAAATTTTACTATATTCAGCATAATGATAATAAATCACATAAAATTGATTGCAAAATATTCACCTTGACATCATTTAATCTCTCAGGAAAATGTCAAACTTTATATCCGTAATTACTTCGAACTAATAGTAAAATATTATGTTCATTCAGGCCATTTGAAAAAATTACAAATGTTATTCCACTTTTATCACTCGCAGAGTCCCATGATACATATAGAATAAGTTGGCAACCCCAAACCAATTATATTTAATCGCCACTTGAAGTAAGGTTT